TTAATTTCATGTCTACATCTGTGATTATGGCATGTTTGTGCTAAAAAATAAATAGTATTATTTTATACTTTCCATTCTATTTATTCATTTATTAGATTTCAAACTCATTCATTTCGGACTGAAATTTTATAGATATGAGGTTGTGTTGCGTCCTCTCGGATTCAATTTGACATACTTAGAAGACAATGACCTCGCAGTCAAGGGTAGAAAGGTGAGTAATAAGAGCAAGTTATATCCCCCATATTTCTGTTTAATTTAAATTCTGTGCTTGATTTTAACTTGTAAAAACATTATTTTTTTATTATCTCAAAAGAAAGATTGCTTAAAACAATTATATTTACATGAAAATAATTTCTATAATGGTTCAATTCGTTATTGCAGGGAAAAGAAAAGCTTGGGAGGTGGAAGCTATCTATTGGTCAATCACTCATGTGAGAGGATTAGGGACCAATCGGATACTTGGAAATATATCCTAAGTATATTTCCTACAATAATAGGGCACCTTGGACTAAGTTTTTGCTAGTTCACTATTTTTGCATGTGTTTTTCTACCGGTTCATTATTTTTTCCGCATAGTAAAACGGCGATCCGTTGCCGATTCACTGATCCCAACCGATTTTTGTGATGCCAAATCCTGGATGCCAATCTTTTTTTAAATTACTAATAAGTACTCGTACAATATTGCATGCGATGAGACCATTGCCTTTGATATGCTTAAGTTACAATATTTGATTTTTAACCATTTTTGGAGTTCAAATTCCACAGGAAGCTACTCAAAAATCTCGGACTTACAAAACTCCAAAAATGGTTAAAATCAAATAGATCTATAAATATAGTAAGATCTTGAAAATGAACGATTTAGATAATGTTTTGGAATATGTAATATTTATGGAAATCAATTTTTTTTTTTTAATATTCCTACGTCTCAATGTCTAGATGATCAGGTAGAGAGTTTTTCAACATTAAAACAACTTTTTTTTGATGGATTTTTTATGTGCATATCTAATTCTACATTTTAAGGTTGCAACTTTATATAAACTTTTTCTTTTTAACTTTTTATGCTTTAAAAATATGAGCATTAAATTCTTATTAATGAGGGAGGGGTGACTTTCCGCCTCATTCCCCATCGTAGGGAAAGTCGTAGACCACTTGTTTTTTGTGGTCGACGACTTTTCTACTTGCTATGACTTATGGACAAGATTTAGTAAAATTTTTTGGGTAGCTTTCACCTAAACAAATGGGTAAAAGCTGCCCAACCGTGTTTGGGTGAAAGCTGCCCAACCGTTGTAAAGGTGTGAAAATCACAAATTCTACCACCTTATCATAGTTTTCAAACATCCTAATTAGTATATCTTACGGTTTTAAAGTTTTCAAACACCCCAATTAGTATATCTTACGGTTTTAAAAAATGTTATTTTGGATCAAAATCATCCGATCCAGATCAAATATTAGTAGGATCAATTTAGTTACCACCACATATGTGGAATCGACTGCTTTTCGTTAGGACTCGTCCCTTTGAGTAGCTTTCACCTAAACAAATGGGTGAAAGCTGCCCAACTATAAAAAAGGTACAAAAATCACAAATTTTGCCACCTTATCATAGTTGTCAAATGCCCCAATTAGTATATCTCAGGGTTTTAAAAAGTGACGCTTTGGACCAAATTGCCCGACCCAAATCAAGTATTAGTGGGGTCAGTCTAGTTCCCATCATATATGGGGAAATCGAGTATTAGTGGGGTCAGTTTAATTCCCACCATATATGGGGAAATCGATTGCTTCTCGTTAGGATCTGTCCAATTTTTTGAAAAACTGGCCGATCTCATCGTGCTTTTTATTTTTTATTTTGTAATTTTTACTTTATTTTTTATTTTTTATTTTTTATTAGTTGATTCACTTGGTTGGATCACCAATTCGGACCGATGATTCGTCGATCCAAACCGGTTTTTTTGATAGACAATTCACGTCTGCAATCTATTTTTTTAAACATTGATATCTCTCAAATATCACTTGAAAAACTCAACATGCCACAAGAAAATCACTTGTTGGGTCTTCCTTTTAAGCGCTTGGGGCAAATTAGTCATTTACCCCTAACTTATAGGAAGTCGGTTTTCAAAATCTGGATAAGTTGGTCAGACCCGACAGATCGCTGGCAGATCGTTGGATTTGCAGCTCGGATCATTCACCCATAGATCTGTGTAGGATTGTTGGGTTGGATTGTGTTTAGATCGGTTTAAATGGGTGATTAGAAAATACTAAAAATAAGTTAAATAAAATTAAAATTAAAATTAAAATTGGGGTTTATGAGTAGGGGATTTAAAAATAACTTAAAACAACATTACATAAGCTCATAAAAAGAAAGAAAAAAAAAAAGTGGGGCTTTAGGGGATACCTGGCCATGACCGATTCCATCCCGAAACCATTTCCATCCCCACAAATTCCCATCCAATTTGGCCACTCGGATTGGAAATCATCGGATTTTAAAACACCGTTTGAAAACTATACTTTTAAAGAACTAATCTCTTCAAAAATAAATCTCATAATCCTTTTCTCTTAAAAAAATCTTAAAAAAAAATCAAACACGTATCACTCATTACTATTTGACATTTTCCCTGTTTTTTACCTATTTTCAACAGTCACACAATTGACCCTTTTTTTAGGTTAGATCAATAGAGAATACAGCCCCTGCTAGTTCTTAAAAATAATTAGCGATTTCCCGTTCTCCATTTGACCCAATTTCAACTATTGGAATTCATGATAGCATAAATTAAAGCAATAAAATTGGTAAAATAATGTTAAATAATTAAGGAAAAATTACATATTCCCCAAAAAACAATGGACTTTCTAATCAATTTACTCACTCAATTTTTTCTAGCAACTTCTTTCTAAAAACCACGTTTCCTAGCAAATACTCCCCCATGCAAAAAGTTCATTTTTTTTGACGAAAATACCATTTCGGTACATAACAAATCATTTTCGGATCCTAATAAAAAGAAATGTCGAACCGCACTTGTACAACACAAGATTGCTCATTTCAAAACACCGGAAATACTCCCCCATGCAAAAAGTTCATTTTTTTTGACGAAAATACCATTTCGGTACATAACAAATCATTTTCGGATCCTAATAAAAAGAAATGTCGAACCGCACTTGTACAACATTAGACTGCTCATTTCAAAACGCCCGACCGCCACTTTAAAATACTCGACTGCCTCTTCAAAATGTAGGACGACCACTTCAAAATGCCCAATTGCTCTTTTAAAATACCTGAATGCTTTTTCAAAATGCCAGACTGCTCATTTCTACAATAGCATAATCTCGGACCACCACAATGAAATGCCACACAATGAAGCCGCACTGCTCATTTCTCCAATAGCATAATCTCGGACCACCACAATAAAACGCCACACAATGAAACGCGGTACCGCCCATTCCAGCAAAAATAATCGTTGGACCCACCCTCTCCAGAAAATGATTTGTCATGTAAAAAAAGAGTATTTTTGTCAAAAAAAAAAAAATCAAAGTTTGGGGTATTGCTACGAAACATGATCTCTTGGGGGAAAGTTGTTAACATATATTACCTCGGGGGTAAATTGATTAGAAAGACTCTTTTGAGGGATTTTATGCAATTTGGGCTTTTCAAAATAAAAATAATAATAAAATTCATCGTATATTTTGCGAAGAGCTTATCGCTGCTTCTTGTTCTACTCTGCAACATATCAACTTGCTTATCCATGAGCCCTGTTAACACTCATGGATTCGATCCCCCTTTCTCTCTCCTCTCTCTCCCCTCTTCAAACCCACTCTGACCCTCAGATGCGCCCCCCCAAAACCACTTTTCCTCTTCTAAACCGCTTCCTTGCACCGAAAACCGCAGTCCTCCAGATCCACCTTCCCATCTCCAAAACCAGTTCTCACCTCCAAAACTTCCATACCACCCAGAAAACCATTTTTTCGCCTTTCCAAAGCCAGATTTCCACTCCCAAAACCACTGTTCACCTCAAAAACCCACACCCCAGCACCCACTTTTCAATACCCAAAACTACTTTTCATCTCCTTGGGTCAATGGCCGCCGCCCCACTTCCAACCTATGCTGAAACTCTTCAATTCAGTGACAAAATTGATATCGAAAAAACCCTAATCGCCATCGACGATTTCTTCAATAGATATCCATTTTTTGTTGCGTCTGTTACATTCATTTGGCTGGTTGTTATTCCAGTAACCCAAGAATTGCTGAAGAAATACAAGTCCATAGCCACCATTGATGCTTTCAGGAAGCTTAGAGATGACCCAAGTTTCATACTTTTGGATATCAGGCCAGCCAAGAGTGTACTAGCCATTGGGTCCCCAAATTTAAAGACATTAAAGAAAACCTGTGTAAATGTTGAGTATAGAGAAGGAGAAGATGAGGATTTTGTGAAGAAAGTCATGGAGGAGTTATCTGATCCACCCAATACCACTGTATGTGTTCTTGACAAGTAAGTTTCATGTTGGATTTACAGCTCTCTCTATTGCCTTTTCCACTAATAAATGCTACCACTACTACTGCTTGGTTTCTTTATCCATTATCTATGCTTGATTATTTGTTTAGATTTAATAAATACTACCAGTACTACTGCTACTACTACTTGGTTTCTTTTATCCATTATCTATGCTTGATTATTTGGGTAGATTTTGTTTTTTTTTCAGTTGCAGTAGTTATTTATTTTATTATTATTGCCAGCATGTTTGTTATGGTGGTCTTGGTCTTAGCACTACCATAATCAATATTGTTGTTTGGGTACTTTGTTGATGATATGTTTTTCAATGCCTAGTGAAAGAAAAAGATATAATTTTTTTATTAGGATGCTGTTGGTACTGTTTGGTTTGCTTTTGTAGGTGTTTTATTTGTCTTGTTGATTTGATTTGAGGATAATCTGGCCAAAAAAGATCAATCTGAGGACATTAGATAAATGGTCATCTGTCTTTAGTAACTAAAAATTTATTGATTCGGGCCTTTGTGATTTGGTCTTCTGTAGCAAAAAGAAGGTTAGATACCTGAGGAGAAATCTTAGGGTGCTACGTTTTATTATGTAGGAGATATAGAAAATAGAGAGAAGGTATTTAATTTGTAGGGATTGGTGAAGGCAGTTGAATTCATTGATGATATCATAGTGCAGCTGGCCGAGCTGTTTGGCCAAAGATTGCTTAACAGTAAATTAATCAGCTGCATAAAGTAAAATGAGGGGCAAATGACAACTCTTAACCTCAAAGTTTGAGTATTAAAGATTGTTAAAGCTTTACATCCATTTTCCCAGTATCCATTTTCAGTTGTGACTTTTGTTTGTCCATTCAAAAGGAGACTTAAGAAATTATCAAGAAAAAGGGGATACTTTAAGAGCGGTGTAAATATTGCATATACATTCATTTGATTGCCTGTATGTGATAAAATATGGCACTATGGTCCAGTGCCTATTAGAATAGTGCATAACCATGTAAGTAAGGTCACTGCAACCCATTAAATGGGGTTTCATTTTAGGATTTTCTTTGGGAGGCATTTGGAATAAATTGGAATGCAATAATGTCTTCTCATGATAGCTTTTTCTTTGGATAATTAATACCTGGGAAAGAACGTTTCTTTCCTTTCTTTCACATGTGATGGATGGACAACAATTACATCTTGCTTGAATTTTAATGGCTATAAACTGAAAAGGCTTTTTCCTTTTATGACATAAACTCCATTCTAAATGAATGAATACCTTTTTTATCTAATGTTGTTTTTCAGAGTATCTTGTCATTCCCATCCTAATTGAACCATCTGTGTAAGAGGATATTTGACTGTTTGACCATTATAATTGTATATGTGTTTGTTAGTGTGTTCTATATTTATTGGCTTGGTGAACAAACCTGTAGTCTACTTTGCCTAATCACTCTAAGTCACTGCAAGAGGGACCTAGCTCCAGCTTCATTTCAATCACAAGCTTAAATGGGTCCAGAGAATGTTAAAATCCGCACTCCCCTGATGATTTCTCATAAGGCCATCCATGCCAACAGGCCCTGGATTCCATGAGAACTATCTTCAGAAGTGAACTTCATCATACCTTAGGGTGGAGGGATCCACTTGTCAAGACTTCCTTTGTCTTGTTTGTATGATCTGGCCCATGAGATGTCAACAATCTATGAGAATCCATGAGAATGAACAGTCAATGAGAATGGAGAGATTGAGGAAGATGTTGCACAGAGAATTAGAGCTGGGTGGACGGAGTAGAGATGTGCCTCCGAAGTCTTATGTGACCGTCACATATCAATGAAACTGAAGGAGAAATTCTATACAACAACTGTAAGACCAGCCATGCTTTTATGGGATGGAACATTAGACGGTCAAGAAATATATTCATAGAATAAGTATAGCTGCGATGAGGATATTGAGATGGATGAGTGGCAAGATAATAAATAATAGAATTCAGAAAGAATACATCTGAGGGAATATAGGGATGGCTCCAATAGGCAATAAGATGAGGGTAAGTAGACTTAGATGGTTTGGTCATGTTCAAAATCGACCTAGAATAACATGTGTTAGGAGGGGCGATTTGGTTCGAGTGCAACGCTCTAAAAGAATAAGGGAAGGCCAAAAGTACATTGATGGAAGTAATGAGAAGAATTTGACTGAGGGTATGACCCTTGATAGAGCGGAATCGCAGAACATGATTGTATAACTGATCCCAAATGGTTGGGATAATGCTCAAATGACGATGATGATGAATGACTTGGCCCATGAGATTGCAGAATGTGAATTTTCTCTTTCATGCTCTCAGCTTCTCATCTTTTGTCCTTGAAGACTGGGTTGTTTCTCTCCAACTAGAGAGAAGGCAACACGGCCAACACTGATAGCCTCCAGAAGCATCAAGCCTCTCTTTGTCAGCAGAGGAGAAAATTGAAGCATTAGGTCTTCAACTGATGCTGGAGTCACACAAAGTGGGCCATGCAGATTCAACAAAGAGGACCAACCATCTATCGTACACAAAGAGCAACTTATGTACAAATGGCTTACTGTTTCCACTGCAGCCTTGCACAAATTGCTTATATTGGGGACAGGCAAGCCTCTTCTAAGAAGGTTGTCCACTGTTAGAGCTTTGTTCATGACAGCTACCCATGCAAAAGCTTGTGCTTGGTGTTGCCCTCGGATGTATCACACACTGGTTGGATTGAGATTAGGGGGCACCACTCAGGATAAGAATCTTATATGTTGGTTTTACTGAGAAGGCTCTTGTTGCTATCTGGTTCCCAGATCAGCCTGCTTTCACTTCTCGGAGCAAAGTAGAATCTCCTAGTTCTGCTTGTAAATTCATGAAGGCCTTGATATCATTGTCTTTTAGGTTCCACTGTACAGCTGGAGTCCACATTGCTTGCGAGGCAGAACCTTCAACTATTTCAGCCAACTTTATCTCTAGTCTAGGTGTGAGACAGTATAGTTTAGCATATACCTATCCCAGTGGCCTTGTCTCGAGCCATTTTCTGATTGCAAACCGAGTGCCTGTGCGGTCATTCACTATCATTGTCTCATTGCCTAGAAACTTTGACCGACAGCTGTGTTTACCTGTCCATATCGCTGATAGCTTACCTTACTATGATGCGCTTTCTCCAGTCTGCCTAAGTTGTCCACCGATATTTAGACCCCACCACCTGTTTCCATGGTTGGGTTGGCATGGTACCAAAACTAGACCACCACTATGTTTAGGCATTCTAAATAGCTCATAATAACCATGAAATAAGGTGTAGCGGAATCTAAATGTTGTGTTGCTCAAAAGTGCATTAGTGCAATACATGGGAGTAGTCGTCATCATCATCATCATCCGAGCCTTCTCCCAACTATTTGGCGTTGGCTACATGAATCTAGTTCTGCTGTTCCGCTCTATCAAGGGCCATACCCTCAGTGAGACCTTGAGCCATGAGAAACCAAAAAAGGGGTAAACCTTAAAACAGGTGAGGACTACACAACATAATACATCGACACGGATAAAGCTTTTCTAGTTTACTAATCATATCACAAATTGTATGAGCTATTTATAAATTTATATGTCGTATCTATTTGCAACCTTCTTTATCATTGTGTACTTACACAAAGCCCATTTTCCCTTGATTTATTCTCCTTCACATTCGTTCTAGTATTTCCTAGGGGCAAGTTTTTGAGCCAACAGGCCAAACGAAGATAATTCATGTACATGCCCTCCGAGTAATTATACTGATCAGCATAACAACATTCAGAAACACCATTGACTCTTGATAACATTATAACCACTAACAAATGATCGCACATCTTTGCTAGGGTTCTTGGGTTTCTCAATATGGCCACCCAAGGTAGACTGCTAAGGAAACCCAAGGGGGGAAATAAAGTCTGATGAACATAGAAGGAGAGGAAACGATGGAATAGCAACTTAAAATATCAGAACAAATAGTTTCCAAAGACCTGGATCAAAATCAATTCATGGAAAAAAAATGTTCATTAAAAAGGTGAGTTACGATTTGAAATACTCTTCAACGTGATAGCATGTATTTGTGCAAAGCAATAACAAGTAGCAATAGAATGTCTCTAAAGAAATTTGAAACTCGTGCTGACCAGCAACTTTATAGGGTCCAACTACCAGGATGAATAATTGATAGAAAGCTTGTCGCAAACACATCAATCTCTTTTGAACATAGTTGTTAAATTTTCAAGCAACAAATTAATTTATTTCTCATCACTAATAAAGATTCTAATGATATTTTAAGCTGCATCACCCACTGCATATAATGATATTATATATCATGTTCCTTAATGGAATTCAAGACAGCAAGAACTATTTATGAAACAAACAAAATGAAGGGGTAAAATTCTAAGGAAGTAGATGCACAGTTACCAAAGGTTTGTACTTAATGTTGAAGGGGCTTGAAGCAAGCAGTAAGGCAGAAAGACAGCAAGCATTTCCAAAACTTCCCTTGGCTCATACCCAAACTCCCCTTGCCCAAACTTCTTTATATAATACGTAAGTAATACTTTGGACCTTGGGTTTTCTACTTGTCATCCTAATCGTTGGAACTCACAATGTAGGTAGGTATTGACTGTATGAGTTCATTAGATGAGAAGAGGTTGCCTATGGTTTGTGCCTCTTTTGGATCTTCTCTCTAGTCTTAGAAGAGCAAGAAGCAACATACTATCTTGAAACTCAAGTGCAGTGATGAGGTGGAAAATAAAGCTAACGATACTTCCAATACTGAATTTTGAGTTTTCAAGATAATCTGTTGCTTCTTGTTCTTAGAAGACTAGAGAGATGATCCAAAAAAGGCAGAAACAGGTGACCTCTTCTCATCTAATGAACTCATCCCGTCAGTACCTACCTACATTATGAGCTCCAAATTCATATGACAAGTAGAAAATTCAAGGTCCAAAGTATTCCTTTTGCACTAAATAACTTGACATAAAACCATGGTATGCAGCTTGTTGGAGCTGGAAATCCTCCTCAATTTCTTTGTTTTTTCTTTCAGGGAAAAAACCTCCTCAATAGTACCTTCATAATTATTTTGTGTCAATTAGCTGATTATGTTGAGGATCCCTCATATTTTAGAAAGGCAACCAGGTTATCTGATTCTAAAAATCAACTTAAGGTTTAAGCTAGTTTTGTTACACTGACTCCATATTGTGCTCACGAAATTTTAGCACTTGCTACCTTTTTCATCATTTATTTATTGAAGAATGATAGATGTCCCAGCTTGGTCCTCCACTATTTATTAGGGAACCTATTTTGTGGAGTGCTTATCCACAGAATGCAGCCGAAATCACCTTGTGACTAAAAAGAAAAAAAAAAGAAAGACATCTGTTTTCCCTCTATTCAGAAAAAAACAAATACAGTTTTTCAAGGTATTCAGGGTTATTTATTTGATATGACTATTAAGCATGTCCAAAGGGGCCTTTGTATATTTACTTGTATTGAGAGGGATGACGTAAGCAAACGAATGTGTACATGAATCTATATTCATGTGTATCTACAGTTTGTTAAGTGTTGTTTATGCCGTAAACATCGCTTTAATGGGACTTCAATGGAAGGGCATAAGCTATTATTGAGTTTGTCAAATTTGTTTTCATGGGTTTGTATAGTTTGTTGAGTGTTATTTATGCTGTGGAAGGTAGCTTTGATGGGAATTCAATGAAAGTGGCTAAGCTATTAGTTGAGAATGGCTTCAAAGAAGCATATGCTATCAAGGGGGGTATCATGGGCAAGGATGGATGGCAGGTCAGTTTTCATAGCAAATAATGGATTTATGATTACATTTGTATGTTTCTACTGCCTTTGAGAGAGAGAGAGAGAGAGAGAGAGAGAG